GATGGCTCTTAATCAAGTTTGTGGTGAAGGTCACTACAGTATGTCCCTCATTGAATCTAGTAACATTCATCAAAATCATTCTTAACTGTGGGAAAAATTCTAACCTCAGTTTAAGGTAGAGATAGTGATTTTTTCTACTTTTTTAAAGCCGTTTACAACAAAAATTTGGGATTTTTTCAAAAAATGATTCATACAAAAAGTGTTTTTCTTTTTTAGTAGAATCCGAATCCGCCATAAAATATGCACATTTCATATGACAATTTGGTCTTGACTTTTAAATGACCTTGAAGGTCATGTTCAAGGTCGCAGCTGAAATAACCAAAAGATGCCCCCCTTCGAACCCAACAAATTTTATTTCAAACATTTTTTTCTTAGAGCATATTATTAACCTGTTTTAGGGGGTGGTAAATTAAAATGGGACACCCTGTATATTGTACAATTTTCTTATTTTCTCTCTTTTAAATAAAACTAAAATGAAACGCAGAATTCACACACGGTATAATGATAGAACAGCCACAAGTGTACAACAGATCTAGATGCGTTATGAATAGGAGAAAAAGAAGTTTTGTATGGGTGACCGAATGCTCATCGCTGTCTTTTGATGAAGTATATTCTACAATAAATGTCACAATAGACTACAGAATAGCTATAAAACGATTGAAACGGGAAAATTGAACCCAAATGTGCGGTAGTCGGTACGCATGGAGACTGTATACAGGAGGCGAGGTAGCGACGTTTTCTCTAGGCAACTTTCTCTTTTTCTCGGAGGTAATTAGCTGTTTTAGCGCCGCGCGCGGTAGTTAGTGAACCACTAGAAGACTTACAATATGAGCGCAGCTTATTGACCATGGAGACGTCTACAGTCTCCATGTTATCGACGATAGTACTGTACAAAGATAAGCCGCCCATGCATATCTTTTTTTGTAAAAAGGAATCCATTAATTTTATAGAAAATTAATACTATTTTACAATGAAAAAGTCTTGCAATATATCGTTTAAGTTATTTTTTTGAAATGGTAGAATACGCTTTTCGATCACTCGATTTTAATAATTTTATAGTTTTTTCTGTTTTTATATTTCCTTATTAAACAATATAATGTCCAGTAATAAATAACATTCGATATACTTAGCTTTAAGGATAGTTACAATGATTAATATGGTCATTGTCAACTATCCACGAAATTTTTAGCGTGTAAAATAATTATCTTTTTAATAGAAAAATATTGTTACGAAAGCCATCATTCAATTGTATAAAAATCATAGATTCTTAACATAAAAATTTACAATAACTATAATTTTTTTTTAAATTGATAGTAATTGTCACCTGTTTCGAATTTAGTAAAAACTAAATGTTGGCAATTACTTTGATTTTGAATGACAAAAAAAATGAATCAATTATTTTTTTTAGATTGGGAGATGCGACATTTGGACTATTGCCTAGACTAAATATTACGAAGGCACCCTCCAAAAAATAAAAATTAGATACAGTGCCGGTCAGCCACTTTTACCCCCCCACGGGCAAAATCAGTCTAACTTCAAAGTTTTATATCTCTAGTAGAAATTAACGTACAGAGACGCGCGTGGATGCGTTTGAAAGGTCTTTCGGAGAGCTTTCAAATGATATGACTCACGGTTGCCATCGATTGTTTTTTTAAATTTTGCAACAATTATGCAAAATTGAAAATTCTGAAATTTTTTTATTATTTTTGACAATTAGCCAATTTTGGAAAAAAAATCGTACGAAAATTTGAAGTACACCATTTTTTAGCTATTACCAAGCCCTATCTGAATCACTCATCAAAAATTTATTTTCGTCAAATATAACGCGCGCACGGGCATTTTTTCCTGGAAGTGACAGTTTTTTTTTCAACATTTTTTATCTCTGTCAAATTGTAACAATCGAAAAAAATTATATAGGAGAAAAAATGTTTGTTTTTTCACGTAGAATACTGCAATAATTTTTTTTTCGGTTATTCGAAAAATTTTTTTTTTCGGTTTTTTTCAATTTTTTTTTCTCACAGTCGGTACGCTAAAAAGATGAGAAACCACAAAAAAAATTTTTTTTCCACCCATTCAATAATACTACATAACAAGTATCGTAAATTACATTAAAAAAAAAATCTTTTTTTTTTCGACCTTGAAAAATAATTTAAACCGAAAAAAAAAAAATTTTCGAAAAACCGAAAAAAAAATTATTGCAGTATTCTACGTGAAAAAACAAACATTTTTTCTCCTATAAATTTTTTTCGATTGTTACAATTTGACGGAGATAAAAAATGTTGAACAAAACTGTCACTTCCAGGAAAAAATGCCCGTGCGCGTGTCATATTTGACGAAAATAAATTTTTGATGGATGATTCAGATAGGGCTTGGTAATAGCTAAAAAATGGTGTACTTAAAATTTTCGTACGATTTTTTTTCCAAAATTGGCTAATTGTCAAAAATAATAAAAAAATTTCAGAATTTTCAATTTTGCATAATTGTTGCAAAATTTAAAAAAACAATCGATGGCAACCGTGAGTCATATCATTTGAAAGCTCTCCGAAAGACCTTTCAAACGCACCCACGCGCGTCTCTACGTTAATTTCTACCAGAGATATAAAACTTTAAAGTTAGACTGATTTTGCCCGTGGGGGGGTAAAAGTGTTTGGCTGTATGCGCGTCGTTCGCGCATGCTTGAATGCGTACGAGGAGTCTCGAGAAAAGGTTGGTCGCAGTGTGAGCTAGCCAGGCTCACACTCGGCGGTCGGTAAGGAAGAAAGCGTTTCGTCCCGATGTTACCGGCTGGACTCGTCAGTGAGGCTTGACGGCCGGTAACATCTGCCTCATACGCTCGAAGTGCGCGAGTCGCTATGCGGACTTATATGTTCAGCGAGCGTATTTCTTGCCGCTCGTGGCTAGCCGATGCCATCTCGATAGGGATGGTCGAACCGTGGGAACGCCACATCACTCCCCCCTTAGTGACGAGGCGGGGGCTCGAGTCACGATAAGAGAAGAGGAGCGGGCAAGAGAGAGAAAGATTTGAAGGCAGATGAGGACGGGTGATAGTAGAGGAGGAACAACCGTGTGAGAGGGGATGTGCGAGCCGCGTTGCGTGGGCTTCTCCGTTGGACATCCTGCTGCTCCCACGATAGGTGGCGGTAAGCGATACGCCTATGACGGTCGGAGGTGTTCCTGCGAGGCCCGATGGGCCAGCAAGCTCTACTAGATCAGAAGGTTGCGTGTTCAGATCACGTCGGGGTCACCAATTTGGCTGTATGCGCGTCGTTCGCGCATGCTTGAATGCGTACGAGGAGTCTCGAGAAAAGGTTGGTCGCAGTGTGAGCTAGCCAGGCTCACACTCGGCGGTCGGTAAGGAAGAAAGCGTTTCGTCCCGATGTTACCGGCTGGACTCGTCAGTGAGGCTTGACGGCCGGTAACATCTGCCTCATACGCTCGAAGTGCGCGAGTCGCTATGCGGAATTATATGTTCAGCGAGCGTATTTCTTGCCGCTCGTGGCTAGCCGATGCCATCTCGATGGGGATGGTCGAACCGTGGGAACGCCACAAGTGGCTGACCGACACTGTATATTTCAAACTGTCCAATGTTTCCACGTTACCAATAGTCAAATATTTTTTCTGTAGTCGATATTTTGATCCCATCATATATGTGTGTGTGTGTGTGTGTATGACAATCTCACTTAAACAAACTTCTAAAACTTTTTCGAAAAATTTAGTTATTATATATATATATTTTTTTTTTCAAAATAGGAAATTCAACGTTCTTCACTCAACTTTGAAAATGTACATTTACGAACGAAATTGCAAGACTTTTTTATCGTAAAACAGTATTCATTTTCTATAAAATTAATTTATCCCTTTTTATAAAAAAAAAGATATTCGCGTGCGGGTTATCTTCCTCACCTACAGTACCATGGTCGATAAGCTGCGCTCATATTATAAGTCTTCTAGTAGTTCATTAACTACCGCACGCAGCGTTAAAATCGGCTAATTACTTTGGGACTGTGACTTGGGTTTGTCGAACGCTTTTACATGGGCGGTATAGGCCTACCACGACCGATGCGAAAACAGCCCGACACAAATATCATTTTATAAAAAAAAATGATCACATCTCACGTATGTCTAATTGTACTTCTCGAAAAAATAATTATTTGTTATTGTACCATTATATTTCTCATAAAAAATAAAAAATATCGTTATCGATAATTCACCTCCTATTTATTCACATAAAGACATAATTAAGCAAAAATAAATTCACAGAAAAATTGTACCTTCTGTAGTCTAAATTGTACCATCAGTACAATTCTATAAATTTGTTTCTAAAAGAAATAATAGGACAATTACAAGTTACCACTAATTGTTACAACTTGCAAGGGTGTCATTCGGAAATGCACTTTGCGCAGGCGTAGAGCTTTGTAATTGTTCTATTATTTCTTTTAGAAACAAATTTATAGAATTGTACTGATGGTACAATTTAAACTACAGAAGGTACAATTTTTCTGTGAATTTATTTTTGCTTAATTATGTCTTTATGTGAATAAATAGGAGGTGAATTATCGATAACGATATTTTTTATTTTTTATGAGAAATATAATAGTACAATAACAAATAATTATTTTTTCGAGAAGTACAATTAGACGTACGTGAGATGTGATCATTTTTTTTTATAAAATGTTATTTGTGTCGGGCTGTTTTCGCATCGGTCCTACCACGCCTCCTGTATACAGTCTCCATGTCGGTACGGTACTGCTGAATCGAACGCGCTCTTAGTTTCAAGTTTCCCATCTTTAAGATTGTATGATGATCTATTTAGGAATTTAGATAGTTCAAGATCTTTTATTTGAGTAAATAGTCATAAACATATATAGATAGCACGTTATTTATAGTCCCTAGAGACTTAAAAAAGACGAAATTTATTTTATGAAATTTATTTAATTTATATACAACCATGTTTGTATTACCAAAATATTGAAAACGTTTGGTTTGAATATAACATTCAATATTTTTTTATAAAAATTTAAAAAATAAGAAAAATAATTTTGTTGGGTTATTTTTTTATCTTATTTTATCATAATCGAAAAATTGAAATAGCATTCACTCAAAGTTTTTTTAAAAAAATATAGGAATTCTCAAGCATTAACTAATTAATATATGACCATTAATTTTTAAGCAATATCAATACCATTGATCTAAATATCACAATTTTTTACTACAATGTTTAATTAATGAATCAAGTTAATTTGTTTAATTTATCAAAATTTATCCTAAAAGTGGTTATTGAAGTTTGCTACTTTTCATAAAACATGACAGGTGATTTAGATAAGAAGGGTATCGATGAAAATGAAATTACATGGTTATACAATGATTTATATCCTGAAAGAAGAGGATTATCTCCTAAAAGAAATTGGCTGCGAATGCTTTTTGGACTTGAAGGTAAAGAAGAACTTGATAAAATAAAATGCGAACGTAATGTGTATTGGTGCTTGAGAAACAGTAAGTGTCTATATGGTCAGAAATGAATTAAAATATATATTTATACTATGACTTTTATAATATTCTATATCACCATAACTATATATATACAGTAAGTTTGTTAAATTCATATATATTACACATGGTTGCCAATAAAAAGACTTTTAAATCATCTATATGATCTTTTATTATATATGTTTTCCACCAAGATTCTAGGCATATAAAACAAATAATTTATAAGATTATTATATTGATATTGATTGATTCAATATTAATTGGTATGATTGCCTTACAATTTACTATAGTCTAAAAGTTTACCTCACTATCAATATTTTAAAATATTACTAAGTCGTATCTATAAAAATGTTTATTTATTTGTTCTTATTTAAAATATTACATGTAGTATTATGATGTTTTATAGCAACAATATATATTTAATAACGAGTAATTTCAAATAAATTTTTATTGTCTGTGTTTGCTAATGCTCTTTTTTAAACAGTTCAAAATCTTATTTAAATTTGAATGAGTATTAGAGATAATCAAATAAAAAATTTTTCTCTTTTGGATTCTTACAACCCAATTTATTTAAGAAATTGGACAACTTTTTGGTATTGTTTTGAATCACTGGTTTCAAGGCCTAAAAGTTAATAGTGGATTGATTTTTAGGTTGACTTTTCAAATAAATTGGTTTCTAAGGATGCCAGAGGAAAAAATTTTTACTTGATTACCTAAAAAATACATTAAAATTGAATATATTTATGATTAAAAAATGTATTAATCAATACATAAAAAGTAGTCCAGTATATAAATTTACTTTTTTATTTGAGCAACGTTTTGTTAGCAGCTTTGCTTACCTCAAGCTGGTCACTTAATATTGCGCTAATGTAGGCTAGACAATATCTCTCATTACCAGTTAAAAATGAATTGATGGAGGGAAACACATATATTTTAAATATATATTTACTCATTAACAGCAAATATTGATCTGGTAATTATTATATATTTCCATTATTCCAAAAATTTATCAATTTGATATTGATTTTCTTATAAAATTAATATTTGATATAAATAATAAATTAATCAGACATCAACAAAAGAACTATATGATAATCAATATTGATTTTTTCACGTATATTAAAAATAGATTAGATGTCATATAAACTAGTTATACCATTTATAACAAATATTTATAATTAACTTTCTCAACCTTATCGAAAAAAATAAGTTTAGTTTTTTCAATGTTGCTAAGACATTTTTTAAATTAGAATATTCCAGTTTCTGCAATGTGCCAAAAAGGTTTGCCCAACTTTATTTACGCAAAGTATAAGCATTACTCTTGCTGATGTAGTATCTCCAAGTTTTTCTATTTCTTGCATATATGATCCTTTCCATTTTATTTAGAGTTGCTGGGCACATAAGTCCTATAGCGTATGCTTCTTTATAGTGTGGAAACATTGTTTTGTACTGTATTTTTGAATTATGAATTGTATTTGCAAGTTGATACAAATACAAAATGTCATCAACAACTATTAGGTCTTTGTGTTTCGGTTGTAATTTAAATGAATGCACTGAGTTTGTGTAGATCTATTTTCTTTTATTCCCTCTATAAAAATATAGTAGAGCTTTGTTGTATCCTAAGTGCTTGATATCCTCATAGCAATTTGAATATTGAATCGATCTTTCTAAGGCTTTGTTTTAGTCATTATAACTTTTGTATTATTTTCAACAATTGTATCTATATCAAACAATGCCCCTACAGGTTTATTAGTAGTACTTTTATAACCACTTATGAATTCTGTTCCAGAGAGCGTTGTTTTTAAAAATAGTATGTTTGTTATCGTTTTCATAAGGTTTGTTGTTGTTGCACTGCTTTTCATAATCTCTTAGTATATTAGTTTCTATGTTACATATATTTTAGTAAAGTTGGCCTTTTTGATTATATATATTTTTCTTTCATCAGTTTATTTGAGTTATATCTTTTTTAAATTAAAATTTGTTATTCTAACATATGATCAGTTATATAAGAGGTCACAGGTTCCTTGTTTGCATAAATATGTTCTAGCATCTAATATTAGTTTTTAAGGAAATCTAGTTTCCTCATAGACTTCCAATATAGAATGTAGTAACTTGCAAATATATATCAATTATCAATAAATGTATATAGAAATATTTATAAAGAACTTTTTATTCATTCCTTACAATTTTACTATATTTTTATATATTTACTCAAATTGTAATTCAGTAATAATAACTACAAAACCGTAAACATAACAACATAATGTAACACAAGTGCAATCAACAACCCCTGTTGCTATGCAACCATCCACGGTCCTCATCTCGTTCGATAGGTCTCGGCATAGAATATGAATTTTTTTAGTATATTTTATTTAGTATTTCTTTTTATTGTTTGCATTTAAGTTTTTCTCTCATTGATTTTTCATTGTTATCACAGCATATTATTATTTTTTATTCTTATCAATATTATTATTTTTCATTATTATTAAACTATTGTATGTGTAGCTATTTTGATGCTTATATTTCTGAATCTTTTTGGTAGTTGTAGATTATTATGTTTACTTCTCTTAACTTTATCCTCATATATCTGTGAAAGTTCCTCTTAGTGGTATAACAGTGAATCCAAAAAAAATGTTTGTTCAATGTTGAGTGGATATTTATCTATTACAAAGTGATTATTAAAGACTATTTTAAGTGATCTGGTTTGTACAGTTTAAAATTCTATAGTTCTTCCGGAATATGTTCCTCCCCGTGTAATTATTCCATAAGAAATTATACTATGGAAAAATGTAATATAAAGGATTTATATTTCTGTACTCATAATTCTGGATAATCTGTAGAATACAAAAGTTAGATCTTTTGTTTTTTTGTAAAGAGTTTGTAGGTTTAGATCCCATTTCCTGTTGTTATCGAATATAACTCCTAATTGTTTAGTGTTATTTACTCAGTGTATTCTTTTTTGAATTGTTATGTTTAAGTTTCTTGGAGTGATATTATGATAGTTACCAAATTCTATGTAAGCTGTTTTATTAATGTTAAGTGATAAATTGTTTAGTGATTTCCAGTTCCATTTTTTTAGAGTTTTCCATTATTTTTAGTTGATTATTCATATTAGTTTCTATTTCTTTCCAGTTTTCACTAATTGAAATCATAGTTGTATCATCAGCAAAAGATAGAATTGAGCATTCAGGCATTATTATCAGTATACCACTTATATAGATAATGAAATGTAATGGTTCTAGTATAGTACCTTGTGGAACTCCGATGTTCAGAATTTTACTTTTACTATGCATTTTATCTATTTTTACTCTTAGTTTTCTACTGTGTAAGTAACTTTCAATGAGGTATAGTACTTGTTCTCTTATAACACAATTGTTTTTTACATATCGTAATCATTTTTTAAGCACAATTTTGTGATCCACTGTATCAAAATCTTTTGCAAGATCAAGGAAGTTTATCACTATATGAGGCCACATGTTGCTTGTGTATGGTGTTTGTTATATGTACAAGGTGTGTACAAAAATTAAGGTGAATTTTGAATAACATTTTGTGTAAAAAATGGAATGAAGTTTTCCAAAACACTTGAAATATTGACAGTGGCATACGGTAAGTTTACTTTAAGTCAAAAAAATTTTAAAAGTGGTATAAGCTCTTTCAAGATGGCCGAGAAGATACCGACGACGAATCTCGCTCTGGACGCGCCAGCAGTTCAATAACTGATGAAAGTGTTGAAGAAGTGAAACAAATGATGTTAAAAAATCGTCGAATCACTATTAAAGAAGTGGCTGAAGACGTCGACATCTCTGTTGGCTCGTGCCATGCAATTTTTTCTGAAGTTTTGAGCATCAAATGTGTAGCAGCAAAATTTGTTCCGAAACTGCTTAATTTTGAACAAAAGGACCGTTGAAGAAACATCGCTCAAGAGTTGTTAAACGACGTAAATGATGATCCTGATATACTGAAAAGAGTCATAAGTGGTGATGAATCATGGGTTTATGGTTATGATATCGAAACTAAAGCCCAATCGTCCCAATGGAAGACTCCAGAAGAGCCAAGACCGAAAAAAGCACGTCAAGTTCGATTAAATGTCAAGGTTTCGCTCACTATTTTCTTTGATTATCGTGGCGTAGTATATCAAAAATTCTTACCACAAGGTCGTATGATCAATGAAGAGTATTACCTTGAAGTTATGCGCCGTTTGTGAGAAGCAATACGAAAAGAACGTCTGGAAATGTGGGAAAACAATTCATACATTTTGCATTAGGATAATGTACCTACTTACTCATCGTTGCTTGTGTCGAACTTTTTGGCCAAAAACTAAATCATAATCATGCCTCAGGCACTATATTCGCCGGATATGGCCCTCTGCAACTTTTTCCTATTCCAAAAACTCAAGAAACCCATGAAAGGACAGAGGTTTCGAACGATTAGTGAGATAAAGAAAAAATCGCTGGAAGAACTCAAGGCTATACCAGAAAGTGCTACCAGAAGTGCTTCGAAGATTGAAAAAAAAGTTGGTACAAGTGTATTATATCTGAGGAGGATTACTTTGAAGGGAACAACATAAATATTGATGAATAAATAGTTTTTCATAAAAATAAATATTCACCTTACTTTTTAAACACATCTCGTAATTTAAGGCATTTTTGGTGCTTTTGTTTTTCCTGTGTTGAATAATAGCTTGAAATAACTTATAATATGTAATAATCTTTTATGGATTATTTTTTAAATATTTATGCTATGTTGGAGATCAGTGATATTGGTTTGTACTTGTGTATATTATACTTTTGTTTTATGAATTGATATTACGATTTTTTTTGACTTTTTGCTTTTTATTTATTTATGTATTTATTTATTTATTTAAGAATATAAAAAGAGGAATAAGAATGTAAGAATATAAGATAAAACAAGACTATTAAAAACTATTAACCCATTAACGACCAAAGAGGTCAGTTTTTGGACATATTTTTGATCGCAAAATTCATTTGTAAAACGAAACAATAAAT